CCATCTTCTATAACAATAATAGTTTTTTTCCCCCAAGGACCGAGTGCTTTGACATCTTGCACCACCAAAAGTTTCGAGGCCACTGATATGATTTAGGAAGAAACACATGCAGTTGATTAATACAATATTCACAGAGAATAGCTGATTATGTTCTTCCACCACATAAGAAATAGAAGCAACACTGACAGTCACATAAATTGGAACCTTGTAGCCTCATTTAGAAAGTTACTTGATTTGCTGTAGTTTTTCCTTCAATCTTATTACTTTGTTCTTTACTCATTCTATTTTTAATTCTTTTTGTTTCAAAATGTAGCTTGTGCCATTTACAAGTTCTGCCTATATTCCTGTATTTTTTCAACTGACTGCCAAAAATGCTCATGTTAATACATCTGCTTGTTCTGAATAGTCCTGAGTCTTTAGATACTGCTACAAACTTGCAACAGAACAATATGCCAGTGCTATATATTAAACAGTAAAGAATTTAAATTATAAATAAAAGCTCACAAACATGACGTTTTCAAAGACGACAGTAAAACCTATGGGGTATAAAGCTTCTCATGCCATGGATTTACTTTGTTTCTAATCACAGCACATCATCTAATAAAACAAATCACAAAGTTCTTTCATGTACATACAAAAGTATTTAAAATACTTCTGAGGTGCCTGCTAATAAGCTCTATGCTGTAAAGTAAAAAGGTTATTTTATCTAAACATCCAACTAAAGGAGAAGCCAAACGTCTGGGTTTAATCAAGGATTATTTGTCCAAATACAAAGAAAAGGATCGAAGTTGTTACGAAGTTTAAGTGGGCCAAGGAAAAGTCTAATGAATGAAAGATAAAATTAGACTTCAACAGATGTTAAAAACCCCCAAAACTCCAAAATCGGAACTATCTTGACCTCAGTCTCTAATCCTCTAGTCTTGGGACAAGACATAAAAACCTTATGGAAAAGTTCACAAAAAACCCCTTTTAGGAAGTATTTTTCTAGGCAATTTTAAATTTTAATGCTCTTAATGTTTCACTGTAAGGTTCCCACCCCCTGCTTTTTTTTTTTTCTTTTTTTTTAAAAGACACCTCATCTTGACCATGTGACAGTTATATTTACATTAACAGTGAAAATTACAACCTCTATTGATGTAGGTAGGACTTGTGTTAAAGCCCTAATTTATCCCTATCACATGGTTCTTATTTTCTTACATAATTTAATTCAGATTTTGTTTAAGATTCTTGTGAATTACATATCTGAAAGGGCTAAGTATTTTCTTAAAAAAGGAAAAAAACCCTCTATTTAGGGTGCAAAATTAACTTTGTTGACTGGCAAGAAAAGTGCCAGCAGACAATCATTCCTTTAAATTCAAGACAAATTTAAAATTTTAGAGAAACCTGAGACATCCAGAAAGAAAGCACACAAAGTGTTTCTGTTAGGCATTATATCATATTCAATTCATTTCTTAGCCACAGAAACCAGGCTCCTTCTTTTTATATAACTGGAAAGCAAGAGAGCTCCATTAGTTGTATTCTAGGCTACTCCTTAATACAGGTCACCTGTATAATTTTTCCAGACATCCAAAGGGTTTTGCATTAACATGTAACCACATTAGTGTTAATAAAAAGCAACTGTGAGACAGGTGTGTACCAGAAAGCTATTTTTTACGAAATTTAACATTTGCATGGCAGACCATATTTTTAAAAAAAATATGTAGATCAAGTTTGCTAAGCAGTAAGTTCTGCAACAGAAATGCTACTAAGCAGAACATCACACAAAGCCCAAGGAATTCAGGCACTTTACTAATCATCACCTGTCTGCCACACAGGTCATACTGGCAATCTATTTCACTGCCAAAGGGAAGAGACCTCATCAACCAAAAGGCGAGCAATTTTTATCTTCCCTCCGCCCCCACATCACACATTCAAACAGTTTTATCAGATGCATGTACGTACCTGTGCAAAAAGGACGATAGCTGTCTCCACCAAATTGTGCCATAACTCCAACACCGTAGGCAGCTGCTTGCCTAACCTCTGGGCTGTTGTCACATATTGACTGTAGCATTGGCCGCAGGAAGTATTCAGCGTACTTGAATGAGGAGGGGCTGCAGTGCTCTACAATGTCGTCAAAAATGCATAGCCCCCACTGCCTGTCTGGCCATGGCCTATGTGGACACTGCATCAAAAACAGGTAACATTTAAGCCACCTTCAAATTGGTAATTTTTGTAATTTACAGTCAATGATTATATCAAAAAAACAATCATTGTAACAGTGGTCTAGTATTTTTGTTAAAATCTTCCCAGATTAAATTTAATCCTACAAACACATAATCTTCTGTAGTGATACTTGCAGCAATACTATGAACAAAACAAAATCCAGATAAGTATCTGAGCTAATTAAAAGAATAATGGTTTTAGGCTAAATCCTTTACCTCTATTTCACACTCCGTTACCTACTTCAGTCTCAATTTTCCCCACTAGTCTGCAACACTTTTTTGGCCCTCATCTTGAAATCCATTTTAGAGAGTATCAGACACTCCCAGGCAAATTAAATCTCTCAAAATAGTTGTGTGTCTCAATGATCCTGGGTTCTTGCAACACAGGTATTAGAAGTAGCACAGCAGTGCAGCTGTTCAAAAACCATAGGGTAACAACTTCATGCTTGATCCAGAATAAACGTTGAACTGACTCTATTTTGTAAAACAATAATTGCTACATTCTGTCTACCAAGTTCTCTAAGATTCCAGCATGGAAGGCCTATTATACATCAGGGGGGGAAAAAAAAAAAAAAAATCAAAGTCAAATTAAACGAAAGCAAGGTACTTACAATTAGGTTCACAATTAGTGGAAGTAGCCTTTCAAACCATGGCAGCACCTTCTCCTTATAACTGCTGAATATTGAGTGCAAAATGTCCGATACTTTAGTCAAAATATAAACATCACTGTCATCCTGATAGGAAAAGGATACAACTTACATTAAGACTAACAGTCTTTAAAACAGTGGAAGTCACATGAAATGCTAAGATCTCTAAACTAATGGAATAAAGTTGTTTAATGATTTAGTTTTGTAAAACCAATCTTTTTAAGTCCACTACTTTTTAACTCTTGATCTAATCATAGAATGATACAATGGTTTGGCTTGGAAGGGACCTTGAAAGATCATCTCATCCAACCCCCCTGCCATGGGCAGGGAGATCTTTCACTAGATCAGGTTGCTCAGAGCCTCATCCAACCTGACCTTGAACACTTCCAATGATGGGGCATCCTCAACTTCTCTGAGCAACTACCCTGGTTTTGGCTGGGATAGAGTTAATTTTCTTCATAGTAGCTAGTGTGGGACTATGGTTTGGATTTGTACTGGAAACAGTGCTGATAACACAGGGATGTTTTAGTTCCTGCCGAGCAGTGCTTACACAGAGCCAAGGCCT